AAAAGAAAGTAATTAAAATATTTGATTCGCTTGACTCTGATGTGGACTTGTCTGATCAGGAAGGATGCTGATTATATACTCGGTGACCACGAAATCGAGTCAGAGGAATCTGCTGACGAGAAACCAGTTGAAGTAGGTATAATTCAAACTTCTGAAGAATCATCTTCTGATACTGAAAATGTTGAAGGCAGAAAAGAAATAAAATACTTTTATGGCCGAAATAGATTCAAATGGTCGGCAAATGCACCTATCAAAAATGTACGAACACCAGCTCACAATCTCATAAAAATACCAACTTCCACTTTAATAGCAGCAAAAGTAGAGCTTATTATTGCCTGGAAATCTATATTTACAGCAGATATGACACAAGAGCTTATTAATAGTACACAAATAAAAAACTTTAAAATGTCAGATCTAAGTATTGGGACCGTGCAAGTTCGGAACAGCGACACCTGGTGTCGTAAATCAGCAAAATTTACTGCGCTTTCATGTTAGATCGAGGTTACCGGATAACTGTCAAGGACGTAGCCCCAAAAAAAGTAAGATTGAGGTTATGTCGGTATGTTATTAAAAGGTAAACGTTGTATGTAGTGTAAATACAAATAAATATATTATTAAATTACAGCATTACTGTTAATATGGATGCAATAATAAAAACTGGATTTGAGAAAGTAAATCACCAAATAAGTTTTCAACCAAGCACTGAGTCAAAGGGAAAAGCTTTAGTAGTGGCAAATGTCAAAAAAGAATGGAAGAATTAAGAAAAATAAATTACCATAAATAATGCTAAGACATAAATTAGCAGGTTAAGCCCATGATATCATCATATTGGTTTGAACAATTAATTCTATTCCTGTAAACTTTTGGACAACGAATATATCTTAATGCATCTTCAGAAAAACTTGAACTTGATGCATTTTTGTAAACTTCAAAAAAATAAAATTTAAACATTAAACTTGATTTTTGGGTTAAAATGAACTCTAAGTGAGTGTTATGAAACTAAAATTTACACTTAAAAGTGAACTTTTATTTATTATAAATATATTTCAAACTGACTTTAAAATCGGGCGCAAGAATAATACATAATTTAGGTTATGTTACTTATGCTTTTTTATGATATAAATCCACTTTTCTCTTTGTAGTAGCTTTGTGCTTCGAAGTTGGAAACGAATAAAACTTAAATTGACAATTTTTTGTTGTATTTTTATAATTTATAACACAGCATTTCCTAAATCCCATTTTCTTCAGTGACAGAAAGTTTAAATAAACAAACGAATATGAAATATGACAATTGACAATATGAATTTATGAAATCTATGAAATGTGCAGTAAAAAATGAAAGATTTCTCCGCTACTCGTGCACGATCGTTTCTCGTATCCCCTCCAAGTACTTGCACGTCGTCAATTCAAATCCCTCAAGAACTGAACTCCCCAATGTCACAGTTGAAGAAATAAATTGCTTTCTGTGTTTAAATCAAACGATGAGGACATAGCCTCTTTCTTTGCAATAGACGGAACAGGACGAGATATTTTTAGACGTTCTTTGTCTACAAAAAGATTTTCCACTGTTATTAACTGGTTAAGATTCAATGATCCAGTTGATCGACAAGAACGGAAAAAAAACTGAACCGGTGCTGGAATAACGGAATTACTTAAAGAATTTAATCAAAGCTCACAAACCTCATTTTTTTAGGGTCTAATACAACTGTTGATGAAACGTTAATAGCATTTCGTGGCAATTGCCGCTTCAAAATGAATATGCCTTCAAAACCGGCTAAATATGGATTAAAATTGCAACGTCTTGCCGACGCCAGAACGTGTTATATTTATAACACATATCTATATTCTGGTAAGGGTAGTGATAGTATTGGCAGAAAAAAAAATTGGTATACCTACCCAACCTGTTATTAGATTGTGCAAACCAATACTTGGCAGTAACTGTAACGTTACTACAGATAATTGGTATACATCAATGGAATTAGCACAAACTCTTAGAACTAACGGTCTTACTCTTGTGGGAAAAATAAAAAAATAACAGGGAAGTTCCTAATGAATTTTTACCCTCACGTAATAGAAACGTGAGTTCTTCACTTTATGGATTTACTAAAGATTATACAATTCTTTCACATGTGCCGAAGAAAAACAAGGCAGTTTTATTTCTTTCTTCCGCTCATCATGCGTTTACTGAGAAAGATGAAATAAATGTATTTTATATTTATAACAACACTAAAGGGGGCTTGGTTTAAAGTGATCCAAAATTGTAGTGTTTATTCTTCAAGTCGCTGAACCCGTAGTTAGGCAATGGCAATATTTTTCTGAATTCTTGACATGAGTACAACAAATTCATTTGTTATACATCAATCACAGCGTAATAGAGACATTCTTACTAGGATGGAATTCATGAAGATTGTTGCTAAACAGATGATTGAACCATATATGAGAGAACAGTTTCATAATATAAGACTATCACGTGAACTTCAAATGTTGTATCCTAGGGGAGAAAAATGTGCCATATGATGAAACTAATGCTGGTTCATCCAACAAACTAACACGAAAAAATCGAAAGACTTGCTCCATATGTCCACCAAAAACGAAGAGGAAAACTGCATATCTATGTTTTCTTGAAAAAGACCTTTTTGCCTAGATTGAGCAGAAAGTGAAGTGCAAAATGACACATAAATTATGTGTGCACGGTTTTTAGTTTATTTCGTTTTTTTTTTTTCATAAGTAGCATTTTTATATTCATTGGTCATTCAACATTTTGTATATGTATTAATTTTAATTAATTTTTCTTATTATTAATAATTTATTTCAAGTAATGTCTGCTAGTGTTTTTTTTTTCATGGCAACATTTTCAGAAAATATATTTTAACAGAAATTTTCAAAAAAATTTTTGTCCTGAAAAGTTTTTGTATATGATGATTAATTATATTTAACATAATATACTAAAAATGAAAAACTAGCTTTTCTTCTTCAATAATGCATGTTTTTGTTACATACATGGTGCCCGGGATGTCAGAACACTGTTTACACACAAAATATTCCCCACACCAGTTAAGGTTAATGAATGTTATGACATCTGGTTCATTATAGAGTTGATATAATTCAAAATTATATCTTTTGTGCCACTACCCTTGGTCGTGTATAGCTAAGCAGTGTTTTGTATATAATAATTTGAGTTCTTCTTTGGATATTTCTTAAATGAAATTGTTTTTAGAGTGCATAGTATGCCCTATTTGCAGGTAGTAGTCACTAGTGAGCCAAGGGATGTGAAGCTGTCAACAGGTTCAACTGTTTCTGTTTAGAGTTTGATGTTAATATTGAAAGTAAATTAACTGTAAGATCAAATACCATATCGAGATATTATCACAAGATTTTTCCTCATGATATACAATGGAATTTGGGTTTTTTTCAACCGAAGAAAGATCAATGCGATCTTTGTTTACAGTATAAAAACTCTTCTGCTGATCAGAGGCTTGCTCTCAAAGTCAAATATGATACTCACTTAGAAGAAAAGGAATTAAGCCGAGCAGAAAAAAAGAATGATAGAATGACTCTTGATAAATATAATTTATACATTTGCTATGATGTTCAAGCGATAATGCAAAGTCCCAATAGAGAAACATCATCGTTTTATTATAAAGCCAAATTGAATAGCTACAACTTTACTTTGAATGTGTTAAATAAATTACCAGAAAATGAAGAGGATTTTAAAAGCTATGGTGACGTGCATTGCTATTTCTGGGATGAGACCCAAGGAAAAAGAGGTGCAATGGAGATTGGAAGTTGCGCTCTAGATTTTTTAAAGAAGGTTTGTGAGGATGCAAGTGAACATGAAGTTAACGTAACATTTGTAACAAATAATTGTTGTGGCCAAAACAAAAATAAATACATAGCTTCTTTATACATGTTTGCAGTCACTACTATAAAAAACCTAAAAGGCATAACTCACAAATTCCTTATAAAGGGTCATACACAAAATGAAGCCGACAATGTACAGATGCTGACATAGAAACAAATATCAAGAGATTTAAAAGCTGGTCCAATCTTTACACCACTTCAATACACCACCGCAATTCAGAGAGCTAGGAAAACGGAGAAACCTTTTATCTATCATACTTTGAATCATGATTTGTTTTACGACTTCAAAGATTTACAAGTCAAGTGGGGATCTTTTTAATGTTTTTTAGAATAAAGTTATTTTTTGTTAATCTTTTACGATTTAATGTTTTATTAATTCCTTTAAAAGAGGCACTTTTATCATTGAAAGTAGTTAAACATTATTATTACACAGCCATATTTAGATATGTTACTTAAAAACATAGTGTATCTTTAGTCATTAAAAGGCTTAATTTGTAAGATGCCTTCAAAATTTAAAGAAATTTAGTGGGAGAGGGGCCTATCTTGAGAGAGATTTTTTGAAACATTTTTTTTTTAATTAAATTAATTTTTTTTGTAATATTTTGATTATCCATTATAGAGTACAAATACTGTAAATTGTATACCTAGATTTTCATTTATCTATCTTTTTAAATAAAAATGTAATAGGTAAGTAAATGAAAACGATGAAGTTGCTCAATCTTTAATCTCGTTTTCCCAAAAGTAACGATTTTCGAGATGTGCCCTTTTAATACTAAGGGTGCGATATATTCTTTTTGTACTGAACAAGTCCAACATAACTTTGTGCATGGTATAATATATCTATGGCAATTTATTTTCGATTAAAACATATATAAATACCAGCCTATTGTTAGGTTTTCAAATTTAATTTTGATCCAATTTGATATTTACTCATAAGACCATTTATTTTATAAAATTTTAAGTCAATTATTTAAGATAAAGTTTGGATTTGATTAAAACAGATTTTGGGACCAAAACATTGGAAATGTTATAAATAAACAGTAAAACATTACTTAATGCTCGCGTTAGTTGCTAGTTGGTTATATATTTTATTCATATAAAAGATAGATGAAAATAAAAAAATAGAATAAATAGCTAACCTGGTTTTCATTAATTCTCTTTGTTCAATTCTTTTAAAAATTTCTGTTTCACGTTCCTTTTCCGTTAAGGCAGCCAATCTTGCCCTATCTTCTTCATCTCCCATCAACTGATCATCGTAACCATCGTTAAACTCTTCTTCAGAGCTTGAAGAATCTGAAACTTCACCTTCTTCTGGCTCTGATTTGTCAGCATCATCTTGTTTTTTAGCTTCCTCTTGCTCAGAATCTGAAGAGGAATCGCGTTTGGCTTTTTTCTTGACATTCTTTGAAGAATTGTCTGATTCTGAACCGGAGTCTGATGATTGGGGTGGTGGTGATTTTTTCTTTTTGTTTTTTGAAAGTTTAAGAAATTCCTAAAACAAAACGTGTTCGAATTAAAATTTTAATTAAATAATATTTGAGATATGTTTACTTGCATTTCGATTAAATTTAAAGTCGTAAAATAAATGACGTTTTAAATGTACCAGCCAACTAAAAACTATTTTGAATTTTCAAAATGTTTAGTGCATAGGTTAGATGGTTATATTTATTAATATTGAATAATCCTTACTGAATCTAGATCACTTTCAGAGTCGTTACTGGAATCACTATCTATTAACGCCGCAGGTTTTCTTTTAACCATTTCAAACTGTATCAATAACACTAAAATTTGGAAATTTTGTCAGACCTATTCAACCTATTTTTCTCTACACCAGTGTTACCAGTGGCTGGGCATGGAAGGATGCACCTCCCTGTCAAAAATTATGCGATTTTGTACAAAATTATGCGCTCTGTTGTAACCTTACTGTCATCTGTCACGTCCTGTCAGTTGTCATTGTAAAGGCCGTATGACACTATGCATTTTCTTGTATCATGTCTTATATCGTTTCTGATATAGGAAGTTATTTATGTTTTCTTATAAAATTTTCTTCGGTAAAGTAATTATTATTTGCTAAAGATAATGCTGTGTCACCGAAGAAATAACAATTGTTGGTTGAGTTTACCGAAAGTACAAGCTGATTATAGCCACAAATGTCAAACATAGAACAAAAACTTTCTCTATAGCAGTGTTGGCATGTTTTTGTAAATGTAGATGCTGTATACTTCAAAAGGCAGCTTTACATCTAGGCTATGCAAGTCTCATGCTATGCAAGTCCGTCTTGCATGGCACATCTCTTGCCTAGCTTGACTATTTTACATCAGAGATATTTCTGTGCAATTTTAGATCCCACTTTCATTGTTGCCAACAGAGAAAATATTTATTAATTTGAGGTTATTTTAGTTTAAATAAAAAATATAATTAAGTACCAAAATAAACAATATAATAAATAAATATACACTATTTATAGTTATTAAAAGGGTGAAGGATGTCAACCAAAGAAAAGAAAACATTGTTATTGTTGAATATTGCTGTTGTAGCAACAATCATCCATAGTCAACGACTCACCCAGTCGTTTTTACATTAACTTTAGACATAGTATATCTATGTATCACCACTTAATAAACTTAATTTAAATCAAAACACAACAATACACATGTGGGTTAAGGAACGCTAAAGATAGAGATAAGGTTATGTTTTATTCTGTAATCTATTATAAATTGTTATGTTGGCAACATGAATTTTAACGATAAATTGCAAGAAAATAGCATGAAAAATAGAACATGTTCTAATTTTTCGTCTAGCACAGGAATTGCATGGAAATAGCTCGTGGGCATGCGCAGTTCCATGATCTGTCTTGCATGGCTCTTGCCTAGCATGAAAATAGCATAATGTAAAACTGTCTTAAGTCCGTTTTACAGCTTGCAATTTTACCTGCAAGACGCAAGAAAGTTGCCCAAAGGCATGCGCAGTATGTCGTTAGCTGATTATTGCCTGCAACTTATTGCAGTTGCGCGATAATCGGTTTGGTGCCATTTTCTGTGCAAGTTTTCATGCAAGTCTAGGGGAATTTGTAGGAAGTTTGATTTTTTCACAATGTCAAATGTCATAATCACTGATTGACACGGAGACATGCCGATCAGCTGTTTCCTGTTTTGTTTATTATTTCCTTTCCCACACATTTGTATTTAGCTTGGCTTGATTTGTAGATTATCGGCTTTTTCTAATTTTAATATTTTTAATTAATACGTTAGAGTATCATCAAAAATTGAACTATCTTCTGCCCGAAGTACCAACAATGTCTTGCATAGTCTTGGCATTACGAAATTTACTATCTATCTATCTAAATCAATCTATGTATTGAAATTAATTCTAAGTATATCATTCTAAATTCTAATCTAAATCTATCGAAATTAATTCAATCTATCTATCAAACTAAATCGACTAAAGTGTTTTAAATAAACAAGTAATTAAAAAAAAATCATAAATAAGTTAGGTTAAGAGTAAAAATTTCAACATTAATTGCAAGCTGTAAAGTCGCACATAAAGACCCTGCAATAAATTGCATGAAAGTTAGTCATGCAAGAAGTTGCAGCAAGTTTTCTTGCAAGCTGTAAAGCGGTCTTTAAAAAGATAAAGCTTTAAAGGCAGCTTTACATCTAGGCTATGCAAGTCTCATGCTATGCAAGTCCGTCTTGCATGGCACATCTCTTGCCTAGCTTGACTATTTTACATCAGAGATATTTCTGTGCAATTTTAGATCCCACTTTCATTGTTGCCAACAGAGAAAATATTTATTAATTTGAGGTTATTTTAGTTTAAATAAAAAATATAATTAAGTACCAAAATAAACAATATAATAAATAAATATACACTATTTATAGTTATTAAAAGGGTGAAGGATGTCAACCAAAGAAAAGAAAACATTGTTATTGTTGAATATTGCTGTTGTAGCAACAATCATCCATAGTCAACGACTCACCCAGTCGTTTTTACATTAACTTTAGACATAGTATATCTATGTATCACCACTTAATAAACTTAATTTAAATCAAAACACAACAATACACATGTGGGTTAAGGAACGCTAAAGATAGAGATAAGGTTATGTTTTATTCTGTAATCTATTATAAATTGTTATGTTGGCAACATGAATTTTAACGATAAATTGCAAGAAAATAGCATGAAAAATAGAACATGTTCTAATTTTTCGTCTAGCACAGGAATTGCATGGAAATAGCTCGTGGGCATGCGCAGTTCCATGATCTGTCTTGCATGGCTCTTGCCTAGCATGAAAATAGCATAATGTAAAACTGTCTTAAGGCAGCTTTACATCTAGGCTATGCAAGTCTCATGCTATGCAAGTCCGTCTTGCATGGCACATCTCTTGCCTAGCTTGACCTTTTTACATCAGAGATATTTCTGTGCAATTTTAGATCCCACTTTCATTGTTGCCAACATGTTATTAAAAGGGTGAAGGATGTCAACCAAAGAAAAGAAAACATTGTTATTGTTGAATATTGCTGTTGTAGCAACAATCATCCGTAGTCAACGACTCACCCAGTCGTTTTTACATTAACTTTAGACATAGTATATATATTTCCACCTATCTATCACCACTTAATAAACTTAATTTAAATCAAAACACAACAATACACACGTGGGCTAAGGGACGCTAAAGATAGGGATAAGGTTATGTTTTATTCTGTAATCTATTATAAATTGTTATGTTGGCAACATGAATTTTAACGATAAATTGCAAGAAAATAGCATGAAAAATAGAACATGTTCTAATTTTTCGTCTAGCACAGGAATTGCATGGAAATAGCCCGTGGGCATGCGCAGTTCCATGATCTGTTTGCATGGCTCTTGCCTAGCATGAAAATAGCATAATGTAAAACTGTCTTTAGAAAAGTACATTTTGTTTATATTATGTTATGAATTCTGAAATTTTTGATTTATATAAAACAACAATGAGTAAATATTTGTTTCTTTGGAGATAATTTTTTTTAGCAATTACCCTTTGATAGATTAGAGGATAGATTTGGTAATCGTCAAATCAGCAGTTGCCAGATTACAAAAAAAAAATTGCAATTAATCTCAAAAAAGACAAATATCTACTCGTTATTGCTTCATGTAAATTAAAAATTGCAGAATTCATTAAATGGTATAATCAAAATGTACTTTTTAAAAGCTTTATCTCTTTATATTTGAAGCATACAACATGCGTTATAAAAACATGCCAACACTGCCAACGAAATATTTTTGACATTTGCGGCTATATTCAGCTTGTACTTTCGGTAAACTCAACCCAATTGTTTATTATTTTGTGGCTGTGTAAAATGTCTGCACAAACGTTTTCTTATAAAACAAATAAGAAGACGAGGACTCTTATTATAAACTGTGGCTTGTCATTGATTTTTTTGCTTTGCTGGATTGTGCGAAATTATGTGATTTTATGCAGGATGCGAAAATTATGCGCCGGCAACTAAATTATGCGCAAATCGCATAATTATGCGCCGATTGGCAACACTGCTCTACACCAAAAAAGCTAACCACCACCACAGAATCATTAAAAAATGACAGAGCTTGGAATACAATTCTAACTGTCATATGTCATGCTTATGTGCTTGTATGGCTTGTACCACAGAAAATCGTACTGCGTGTCTGTACTATAATAATTTCTTGGTAGAATGGTGGTAAGCATGTTAATTATAAAATATTGTAAATATAATATATAATATAATATATATATATATATATATATATATATATATATATATATAATATATATATATATTATATATATATATATACTACTACTACTACACTGTTCACTGATCACTACTACAGTAGTGACAGCGTAGTGATCAATCAGTGAACAGTGTAGTAGTGTCTGGGGGCTCGGGAGACTGAGACCTCGGAAGCCCTGAGGAAGGCATCAGAGAGGATGCCGAAAGCTCGGCAAAATGGATACCGACGCGGTTCAACCCGGAAGACTGGTGAGTTTGATATTAATTTTAGTAATAATATTAATCTTAGCTCTAGGTTATTATATATATATATATATATATATATATATATATATATATATTATATATATATATATATATATATATATATATATATATATATATATATATTATATATATATATATATATATATATATATATATATATATATATATATAGACAAATAGACATATAGAAAAATATTTCTCTTAGCAGAGGAGAGGATAGAATAGTACGAATAGCACGAGATAAGTCACCAAATAGACGAAGAAGTATTGGTAGACCAAGAAAAAGATGGTGCGGCAATTTAAACAATTTAGGAGGCTAAAAGCCTCTATACTAGAAGGAAGAAGAAAAAGAAGACAAATATTTCGATGTTTTCTTCGCTGATTAATTTTAACATTTCTGAGTATATTCCACCTGCACTTGGGTCCGTATTTGTGTTTGAGTTGATTAATGTCGTTTCCAATATTTCAGAACTTCTGGTCCGTCGTTGTTATTGTCCAATCATCTTTGTTTTTTTCGTATGCTGTTAAAAAGTATTTTGATATAGTTTACCAATTCTTTTAATTTGTATTCAGTCGATTCAAGCAATTTGCCATTCGTGTTCAGTATGGTGTGCAAGATTGTTTTCTTGTTAGTCGATGTGAACTCCTTTACCTTTTTATGTACCTAAATTTAAAAAGTCGTGCATTTGTTACATACTGTTCTTCCATTTGGACGCATTTTGTTTTCAGCTATTTATTCTTCGCATCAGTTTTTTTAATTATTCTATTTAGTCTTTTGTATTCTCCGTTATTGTCAACTTTTCATTTGGTTTATCTTCGTTTGTCCATTAATTGTAAAATCTCTCCTGTTATCCATTCCTGCTTATAATTATTGTTTCGATAAATAGATTAAGCTGCACTTAACATAGTTGTTTTTCAACAAAAAAATATTTTGAAACATTTATATATCTACGAAAAATATAGTAGTTCAAGAAAAACTTATACATATAATACAAAACAAAACTTATAAACTTCTGTCCTACTGGTTGCTTGATCCTTTCAAGTTTCAAGTTTAAAATGTTGGTGATCATGATCTTAAATTGTTATTATTTCTTTCAACGGTGAGATGGCAGGAAAATCGACAAATGACGTCATAAAAAGTGGGGCCAACATTAAAATTCCAAACAAAGCCCGTTAACCTCAAAAGTGTTGAACAATCTTGAAACGTCAACATCTATAAAAAAAACTAATTTATTAGTCATCCCACTTTGAATCATCTGTCGGCAAAATTCGGTGAATTTTAACAAAAATATTATATAAATAGATCGGTATCGTTCCAGAAGTTTGGAAATTGTGCTTTTCATACTTTTTGTATAATAGTCTAGTTTATATTTCTAAAGATGAGTGTACTAGGTTTTAGTGACATTGTTAACGGACCGTTAGCTCAATATCTGCAACTTTCCGCCCAAATTGGTGGAGATGTGGCAGAACATTCGAATTTGGTTAAAAATGCCTTTAACGCCCAATACAAATTCTTAGAATTGGCAAGTCAATCTTCCAAACCCGCACCCAACGATTTAAACAATTTTTTGGTGCCAACAAGCGATAGTATTCGACAAATTCAAGAGTTTAGGGAAAAACATCGCACTTCCCAATATTTTAACCACTTATCAGCTATCAGTGAGAGTATCCCTGCTTTAGGATGGGTCACAGTAAGTCCTACACCTGGCCCTTTTGTCAAGGAAATGAATGATGCTGGGCAGTTCTACACCAACAGAGTACTAAAAGACTGGAAAGAAAAGGATAAGAAGCATTTTGATTGGACCAAATCTTGGGTGCAGACTCTATCTGACCTTCAAGCTTTTGTGAAACAATATCATACTACTGGGTTGGTATGGTCAGGTAAGTTTTTTCATAATTGGGTGGGGTCCAAACACTTTTGTTTCATACTTATTATATTAACAAAAGTACATGCACATAGTCTTATAAAAACATGTTTCATGTTTACATTTGATCTATTGTTGATTTGGAATAAAAAAGTATACATGTGATCTTTTGTACATTTTGGAATAAAAAAAGTAATTCTTTACAATGATAACAAATACAAGATATCTTCATCATCAGACATAAGCACATTATAAAATCTTTTAATTCAGAAACATCTGTGGCAAATGGACTTTTTTCCAAGCAAAAAAACTAGTATACACACATTACACTGTTTTGTATTATTTTTTTAATTAAACCACATTTTAAATATATCAGGGAGTAGCAGTAACCCCCATAGGGTTACTCTAGATTTACCTAACTGATTTAGGTAGAATATTAATATTTATTTTTCTGGTATATGTGCACAATTTTATGCATTATGTTGAATGATATTGATTTTAAAATTCGTATTTATGTAAAAAAGTTACTTTTTATTGACAAAGTTGACAGAGTTAAGTAACAAGAAGTGTGAATATTTTTTTTTATATATCACATCTAATTCCATTATTTTATTATCAAGCTGAGGAAAGTGGTTAATTTATGTAGTATTTAATCCTCTATGTTGCACAGTAAGTACTAAACAGTAATTAACTAAAGTATTGGTCTTATAAAATTTTATGAACCTGACTCACTTATTTGGTGTTGTCAATCTATGAACAAAAAAGTGTGGAATCTGCCATTATTTAAAACATTCAATACTCTGCATTGCCTTCTAATAGAATACAGTCAAGCTACTCAAGCTATAGTATAATTCATTAAGCGGTGCAGGAAAATATAAACATTAAATTGTGTCCGAACCGGTATAAACTGCCGATAACATCGCCAGACGAAATAAAGATGGACATTCCGGTTAGTTTTTAAATATTTTTGAAGAACTGTTACTTGCATTTATGCATAAAATATTCATTAATTTTATAAATCGGAGTATTTTTTTCACTTACTTTGTATTCAGTGATAACATTAATTTATTTACTATGCAATAAACACGAATATTTGAGAAAAGAAAAAAAATAATAAAGTGTCATAATTATACTGTTACTTATCGGAACGAGTAGACTCATTTGGAACATCTTTAACAATTATCTGTTAAATTTATCGTTGTTTATATGCCCTGCACCGCTTAATGGAATAAGGTATAGTTTTTGCATTAGTAAAATAGTTGGAGTATTTATTGTTTTTCTTTGTTGTTTTTAATACAATATACTGAATACAATATTGAATTCAGTACGAAATTAAATAGAGAAATGTTTTTAAAATTGTTTTTTTTTCTGGCATGCATTTTATTAAGGTTCATGAAGTTTTGAAACATTCCTACATACTACAATAAATTACACACTTCCAAATAAAGGTCTACTATGTTAAATGATTTAATACCCATATAACTAGTGTTCAAATACTTGTGTCCTGATTCTGTATTTATACTAAACTGTAACTGTAGTAGGAAATATTCTAAATATTATTTTTTTACTAAAAATAAACAGCTAACATAAACATTATAATAGAAATGTTATAAGTTTAATTCAGGCAACCACCAATTCTACATTTAAGTACTTATAAATGGAAGCATGTGATCTATTTATTATTCATTATGAATTATACTTATCTGTAATGTATTTTGAATCTCTTATAGCCAGGGCTGGCCTCAGAGTTTTGTGCACCCTGGGGCAAAAGATAAAAAAATATGTGTCTCACCCACAAAAAAAACTTGTAATCAAAATATTTTTTATTAAAATAAATACTGTCAAATAATTACTTACTTACATAACATTAATGTCATGGACACGACGTAATCATTTAGTGACATGATCTATGAACGAAACAATAATATCAGGCATTGCTAAAAACATGCAGTTCTTTTCTGTGCATTATCGTAGCGAGACAGATACGAACTAGTTTTTGCATTAGTGAAATAGCTTTAATATTTTTATTTTTTTTTTGTGAACAATCGTTTTTAATATTCCATCATTTTTTGGATCAATCTGAATAAAAAAAGGTGAATTTTAATTTTTCTCCAAAGTTGATCATTTTCCAACTTATAAACAATTTAAAACTGAAAAAGAAAACAAAAAATGATGATTCAATGCACAAAAACACACAATTATTTTTGAATTCAACAAACCTTGTTCTATCAGTTTCTGATACTTTAGTTTGGGCTTATTTTTACAACTAAAAACAATTAAAAAATTGTTTTTAGTTGTTTGAACCCTTATCACAACCTTAAAATGGATTTATACAAAACTGTTTAATAAATTAGGACCACTTTTTGTATAAGCAACCTCATAAACATTATTTTGCAGTATTTTATGTGCAAAAGTGATTATGCAAAAAATCTCATTGGAATATTTTTCCCAAGGAATCAGAGGTTTTGTCTCATATAAACATATTTTGCTGAATTTAAAACCAAAATCGTATTATTTTTCTATCATACATTGAGTTATTTACTTGTCCTCTAGATTTTTTTCATTTCTTAAAAGGTTTATTTATAAGCCAAATTAGTGCAATGTAAATATTTTACATTTTTACACAGCAATTCATATTGGCAGTGAAGAGGGAAGTAGTAAATTTTTATTACATCTTTCAATGTGAAATAAAATAAAAATGTGATAAAAAATGTGATTGAAGCTATTTTCTTGTGGCATTGTAAATTAATTACTATTAAACTGGAAATAAGCCACAATTAAAGATAAAAATACGTTTATTGACGTTTCAATTTCCACTTCGGAAATCGTTCTCAAAATACAGTTTGTTTGTATTTTGAGAACGATTTCCGAAGTGGAAATTGAAACGTCAATAAATGTATTTTTATTTTTAATTGTGGCTTATTCCCAGTTTAATAGTAATTAAAAAATGTGATGTGATAAAAAAATACATATTATGTGATTTTTATTGGAAATACTCGATATCATTAGCACATGCAAATCCTACCCTGTTGCCTAATTTCCTATGAAATTAAAATGGTAAATGTTTTTAGAGTCCATTTATTTTTTTGGGCATGCATATTTACGAAGGCCATGAGGTTTTGAAACATCTTTACCTGTAAGATATTGTATTCAAAAGTGAATAAATTTAAATAGACTATGCCTTATTTTAGCCATCGCCATTTTTCATATCTGTTATCCATATTTTTATTGTGTCCAATATGTCTTGTTCAATTGACATAAATGCAAGACAGCTTAATAGTCCCTGGGATATAGTTGAAAGTAAATAATTTTTAATTATACTTAATTTGGAAAAGTTGTTTTTGACTATCACAGGTATTTTTAGTAACACTGTTAATGCAACAATATATTAAGATATGTGGCAGATAATTTATTTCTATTAATATAATTTAAGTGTCTTCTGAAGGTATGTCACAATGTTTTTGATGTAACTGTATTTTCAAGACCTTTAATTTATCAAATAACTGAGCACTATGTTTTGGCTTTTCCATCAGCAGTTCACAAAAGGCAGATATTTTTTTTGTTTTTAATTTATTAAAAGAATACCTAATTTGAAAATATTGGCTATGTTGGTTTAACCATTTAAATATTCCTTCAAGTACATTTATAATTCTATCAGAGATTAAAAATAGAGATTAATATGATAATAACCCTGAGAGTCAAGTATTGGTTCATCTGAATTTCCATATTCAAAAATGGATACATATATATATATATATATATATATATATATATATATATATATATATATATATATATATAAATGATGGAATATTAAAAAAAGATTACTGTAAGCTACAGTCGACTCCCTCCCTTTGCCTCGCTATAAAGGGTTATAGTTCAATAGAAATTTCACACTACATCTAATGTACCTCGTTATAAGCGAAGCCTCATAATAACCATGTGTGTTATAGAGGGAGTATTATACTGTATATAATTATATCTTGTTAGTCCAGATAGGATCTGTTTAGGATTTATTGTAATGAATTAGAGCTTTTGATAAAAATGTTCTTTAAAATCCAGGAAAAATATTAATAAAATAAATTGATATTACAGGCTTCTATTTTACAATCTTTGAATATCTTGGATATAATTTATATGAAAAAAATTGATAAAAGTAACAGTGTTCACAATTAAATTTACTATCAAAAGCTGCTTGTGCAGTCAATAAAAAAAATTCCATCATATAGAAATGAAAATTTTCAAAAATAAAAGTAAGAGCAACACTTGCTGAAAGAAAATGTGATATATTTTTGTGTTTTGCATAATAATTTTGCAGTCCAACATTGTTGCATAGAGAATATTTTATTATATAAATAGATAATTTTTTTTTCAAATTGTAGTAAAGAAGCTTTCAAACTCCATCTTATGAGTAATTAAATGAACCCTAATACACTTTTCTTTAAATCCAGACTAAAAAATTTTAATATTAAAATTTTTTAAATAATTTTTACCAATTTTAATAATTTATATCAATGTTTATACAGAAAAATTATATTTATGATGAATATTTTGATCATTCATACAAATAAATTAAAAAAAAAGACATTAATACATTTTTAAAAACTCTAAATTTATAACTGGTTTTAATTTATAAAGTGAGTTTAAAAGTTTGTTTGCATTTCTGTATATTATAAAAAGTCAACAGTTTATTTAACAAAGAATTTTTCATATGGCAAAGTTTTTTTGATGTTCTAATTTTGTAAATGGAACTGAAAAATTATTATAAAACAGTAGAAGGATATTTTTTCTTTATGTTATTGTTTTATAGGTTACTTCAAATTTTTTGCATCAAATTTCTATAAATTGTGGAGAACTGTTTTCATAATACAGGCAGCAGAAATATTTAACAAAAACTTAATTTCTAGTCCTCATAATACATAAGTATTTCTGGCATTTTTATAATATATTCAAATAATTTGTCCCAAACACTGCTGGAAGAATTTAGCAAAAAAATATAGTTCTGATCTTGTTTTT